CCAACCATCTTCCTGATTTATTTGCGTTTTCAAAAAAGTTTTGTTTGGATTTCTTAATTTTTTAGGCTAAATCCTCTTTTTCTATTAAATTCAATTTATGTTTTTTCAGATCCATTTGATTTCTTATATTCTTTTTTTGTGAATCTTTTTGTAATTCGATCTCTAACTTCTTATACTCCTCTTCTACTTTTTTTGAACTTGTCTTTTTTAATTTCTCTTTCCCATATATGTTATTGCCAATCCTCTAACAGATGCTTTGGCTGTGTCCCATACATTTTGCAATCAAGTTTCTTCTTTCCTATTCTCTTTAAAAAAAGAAGACCAACTCTTTTTCCATAGGCTGTAAAAATTCTTTTGCATTTAGAATTGCTTGATTCAATGTCCATCTTAATTTCTTATTTTGTCCCTTCCATATAATTTTCATCGGATTTTGACATGCCCATGTGCTTGTTTCAGTGTTTATTTCTTGTATATTGGATAGTAGATCATATGACATCCACATCATATCAATTCTGGACCAAATCATGTGTTTATTTGAGTAGAATATATATTGACTTTTCTCCAGAAATCTTCCTCGCCAAGGATCTTGAATGCCTAATTCTTCCACCATTTTAAAAAATATTTTTGGAAATGTTTTCCTAGCTTTTTTATTTATCTTTTTAGTTTTGTTAGTTTAGTCCAAGTCTACATTGACAATTGCATTGAAATCACCTACAATACATATATTTCCAATTCTATTATGTTCCTGTGTAATTTACCATAGAAATCATCTTGGTTGTCATTTGGTGCATATATTGCCACTAAAAGTATTTGTTTATAGTTCATCATTACCTCCACCATTAAAATCCTCCTTTCCTCATCCATAAAAATTTGTTTGGCCTTTATTGTCTCCTTAATATACAATACAACACCCCTCTTACTTTGATGTGTAAGCGAGGCATGTAATTTCCCCACTTTAGGATATTAAAAAAACAATTATGTTGTTTTTTAGTGTGAACTTCTTGTAAACAAAATATATCCTGTTTTAATTTCTCCAGTTTATTAAAAAATATTTTCCTTTTTAAACATTTTGTCAAGAACTGATACTCTCTTCTCAAATCTCTAACTCTTCTTAATATTTGTTCCAACACTATTATTTCTCTACCTTTGTACTTCATAGAGATGTTTCTTACTTTCTGTAGAATCTCTATTCTTATTGCTTCCTTTGTAAATCTAACATGCACCTCTCTAGGTTGTTCTCATTGTGTATCTTGTATGCACTCTAAATATCTCATCAATCTCATTTGAAATTCTTTCCTTAGTTTCCTCCATCGCCTTTGCCAATAAATCTGCCATTATTTCTGCTAGATTTTTCCCTTTCTCTTCTTCCATATTTTGAAATCTCAAATAGTAACCTGCCTGATCCATTTCTAAGGAAATTATTGTCTTTTCTTTATTCCTATCTACCGCTGTTAAACTATAATCCAACTCTCCCACTCTTTTTTCTGTTAATTCAGCTTTTTCTTCTACGTTTTGCATTCTTTGCTCATTTTTCTCCATGATCCCTTGAACATTTTTAAATTCCCCTTCTACTTTCTCCATTATCTCATCTAATTTGCCTATATTTTCCTTCAAGTCTTCATGAAGGGCTTGTATCTTATTTTTTTAATTCTAGTTGCATAGCGTTAGTTTTTTCTTGTTGTGCCATAGAATCTAATGTTCTCTGGCCAGCAGGACTAGAGGTTGCAGAAGATGACATTTAAGACAATGCTGATGTTGTTTTCTGCATCTTGTGATGTCTTGATATTTGTAATCCACCAAATATGACTCATTGCATTTCCAAGCCAATTTATATCCAGGTATGGATCACCAAAAAAAAAAGGGGGGGGGCAAAAAACAAAGAAGAGAGAGGAAAATAAAAAATAAAAAGCCAGAGCAATAACAAAAATAACAAAAAAGAAAAAGAAAAAGCCAAAAACCTTTGTAATCCAAATCCAAATCTCAGAGTTTTTCTTATTTCTTTTCTTTAGGTTTTTTTGTACCTTAATCCAAATTGCCTCAAAAAAATCTAATTTATAATACAAATCGACCCCCAAGGGTCCAACATTATGGTTATTCCAAAAGAAGAGTTCACAACACTACCACAAAGCAGGAAAAAGATAACAATAAAAAAAATATAATAACAGGTAACAGCTACTTAAAAAGAAAAAAGTAAAAGCCTTATTTTGTAATGCCACCAAAAAGAAAGGAAGATTTCTTCCTTTGGAGATTTTGACAATTTCCTCAGGGGCCCCCAAGGAACATGTCATCTCACCACGATGCTAGCCATGCCCCCCCATCTCCATAATTACCTTTATTTATTACTCACTAGAATTGGTTGCTATTCATGAAGTATACCCTATAATTGTCCTTATAAAATAAATTATTTGGATTTTTCCTTAATGACAATATATTGATATTCATCTCTATTCTGAGTTCCATGTGGTAAAAGGAATAACTAAAAATACTTTTCAGCCCTTTTTAAACAAATTTGCTCTATATTATCCTGAAAATTAGGGATCACACTTCTTTAAAATATTTTACTGTGCAGGAGCTGTTCCCAACCATCTTTTGGAAAGATGGCAATCAAAATGCAAAATTTGACAATGAAAATACAATGGAAGCAACTTGTAGGTAATTTAACATCTGTCTGTCTGTCTGTCTGTCTGTCTGTCTATCATCTATCTCTTAGAAAGCAGTATTGCCCACTGCCAGAAGTTAGATCTTGACAGACATAAGGTTAATTCTCCCTTCCATCCTTCCAAGGTTGGTAAAATGAGGATTGTTGGAGGCAATATGGTGACATTCTAACCATTCAGAAAGTGTGGAAAAGTACTATGGAATGGTATATAAGTCTAAGTGCTCTTATTATTGTCCTCTGTCTGTCTGTCTGTCATCTATGGTTTTAAGGTACCATATACATTTTAAAATATTTTTTCAACTAGCTTATATGCTCAGTTTATTAAGAAAACATTAGATATATCTTCTCTACTGCTGAGATTTTTAAAGAAATGACTAACCCTGATTTTCCTCTTTCAAATTTTCATCACAGAGATATATTATAATTTTTTTCCAACAGAGACACATTGATTGATCAATTCATGGATTGAATGATTGATTGAGTGTCCATCACTCATGGCCCCCAATCAAAGTATAAAGAGTTATACATTGATTAAAAATATAATAAGTTAAAACAACCGAATCATGAAAAAGAAAAGATGTCCAAACAAAGAAACAACCAGAATGACAATAAAAAGTAACTCATAGATAGTGCATACCATACATTTCATCTATATCTAAGTGAATAGCCAGATCAGAGAAGATATAACTACTGGGCCTCATTAGATGACAATGATTGATAGATGTGAAGATATACATGATTATCTGTCAGAAATGAGAGGACAAGCAAGGGAACAGGAGAAATTATTTTCCTTGTTATTTGACAAGTGCTCTATAAAGGATTGTATACTTGAAAATCAGCACACTATGATTGCATCCAAAATCCTAGTTATCATATCTACAGTTCATGTACCAAAGCTGCTACCCAGGCATTTTCATGACATATACATAAATACCTCTGCCAGTTCTTTCTGGACTAGTTCAAACCTCTGAGTGGTTTTTAAAGATAGTACCATATAGTAATAGTATGTTTCAGTACCTGTAAAAGTCATTAAGGCATATGTTTTAATTTAAAGGTTCAACAGATTATAATTTATAGAAATAGATGTTTTACAGCCTCTGATGTAGTTATTGTTATGAAAGATTTTGTATGGATGAAATTGAAATGCCATGCAGAAGTTCCATCTGGAAGAGATTTCCAAAGACACAATATACACTCAATTCTCAATTTTTAGTTTATAAATGAAAAAGGTGTATTTGTTAACTAAAGACAAAAAAAAAATGGTATCCCTAATCTATATTTCATTTTTCATGTTACATATCTTTTGAGCAATTCTATAAAATTCTGCTTCCTGGACCTTTTAAAATTAACTGCACCATTTAGTGGTAAAAATATAATAGAATGGATGAATCCCCTAACACTATTAAATATATTGGAAAATTGTGAAAATTAACATTTTATTCTTTTTCTCAGGTCCAAATACCAACATGGGATCATACAGACCTTCGTACTGATTAATAAAACTTGTTATATCTGAAGTTATATTTATACTGTGATTTTTTATTTTAGAACAATTATTGGATATTTCAAGAGTTTCAGTCTTTCCTATGCTAAAGGCTAAATGTCATTATTAATTTGTTTGTTTCTACTTGCTGGAAGTAATTATAATCATTGATATTTACAGCTATAGAGAAACACAAATTATTTTTTTAAAAAAAATCTGAGACCCATGAATTATTTACTATAAATACTTGTTATTGTATAATCAATTCATCATGCAGATTTTAAATGCTGTATGGCATAGGACATTGAATATTTATATTTTGTGTGAACATTGGAAAACTACACAATTTGTATCAAAAATTTCAATAGATCTTAAACTATTTCTGAGTGAACTCTACAGCATCTGTATAATATAGGAATCAGTAAACAATTAATACAATAACATAAATGTGCTTTCCATGTCCTAAAATTGTTTTGTAAGAGTTGCATTTATTTTTCATTTGAGATATTTTTATATTTGTAGACAACATATTAAGACTTGGAAGAGGCTGCCTGTATGAGACATGGAAAAATGAAGAAAAGATGTTGGCAAGCCACTTTTGAAAATGTTGCCAAGAAAACAGCAGAAACCTCTCCCATGGGCACCAGAGGACAGTATTGACCATACTGTCAATATTGACAGTATGGACCATAAGCCAATCAGTTTCTACATATATGAAATCAAGCTCAAGAACAAATAAAATAAATATTCTAACCTAATGTATGTTGTCTGCAATTGGGTGAATGGCTATGTAAGTTTTATATCATATATCTATTTTTCTCCTTTCTGATCAAATCATAACCTAGTTTGGTACACAATTCACATTTCTTTAAAATGCAGTGACATGTGACCATAAAGTCTTGAAAGAGCAACTTTGATGTCTTTGTTTCTCAAACTGTAGATTAATGGATTCATCATGGGTGGAACAATGGAATACATTATTGTAATTATGAAATCAAGATGGGGTGGACTGTCAGATATCACTCTTAGATAAGCAAAACTAGCAGTGAAGAAAAATATGGAGAAAACAATGATGTGTGGTAGGCAAGTAGAGAAGGCTTTTGCTCTTCCTTCAACTGAAGGAATTCTCAGAACAGCAGAGAAGACACGCACATAAGTCAGAAGGACAAAAATAAAACAACCCAGTGCTAACATACCAGTGAAGGTCATAACTCCAATTTCATATACATATGAATTAGAACAAGCAAGCTTAAGTAAATAAGGGATTTCACAGTAAAACTGATTAATAATCTTAGAACAGAAAGGTGTAAGAAAAGTGACAGTACTGTGTAATGAAGCATTGAGAAGGCTGGCTGTCCATACACCTCCAATCATTTTGGTGCAGGTCTTCCTGTTCATTATCATTTCATAATGTAAAGGGTTACAAATGGCAACATATCGATCATATGCCATTACAGTAAGAAGGGATACATCACAGGTCAAGAAAAAGAAAAAGAACATGACTTGGGCAACACATCCAGCATGAGAAATAGTCCTAGTATCCATAACAGAATTAAAAACAGCTTTTGGGACAATGACTGAAATGGACCCAATGTCTTGCATGGCTAAATTCAACAGGAAGAAATACATGGGGGTATGAAGATGCTGGTCAAAAACAATAGCAGAGATGATGACAAGGTTCCCTGATAATGTCATTAAATAGAGTATCAGTAGTAAAGCTATGTGCATAATCTGTAGCTCCCAAATTTCCGAGAATTCCCAGAGAAGAAACTCAGATGTGTCATTATCCATTCTTAAAACATTGTATCCTAGAAGAAAAAAGGAAAGGAATTTTTAAATATTTCCTATTTGATAAACTTTCAATGAAAATATAGTGTAGATCACATTATATATTTTTTTCAAAAATGTATTAAAACATTCTGCACTATAGTAGCAGTAGCAATACAATAGAAGACAGGATTTAGAATATATAACATTCTAATCTGTTTATTTTCATCTCTGTGCTTAAAGAAATGTGCTTGAAAAATCTTTTCTCTGTAGGTTGTAATTCCTCGTAATTTATATTTCATTTGACTTTTAATTGCAAAGGAAAATGAGCTTTAGGAATATTTTAAAGAAAGAAATTCAAAGTATAAATAAGTGACTGGTTCACCATCTTGATCCATATTTATTTTTACAGATTCCTTTATTTTTTCTCTTATTGTCTTTCTAAAGCAATTAGTGAGACTTTTTGCTCTACTGAATTTCCATGAGATTTTATATAATTTTCTTGCCATTTCCCCCAAAATATTTTTAAATATCAAAGACAAAACAACCAAATCCTAATGTAGAAGTGTACATTATAATTCAGATTTCAGTTACAAATAAACCAGGGCATGCAATGTTAAGTAAATATGGGATTTCACAATAGAACTGATTGATGAGGTTAGAGCAGAAAAGAATAGTGAATGTTGCAGTAAGGTGTAATGTTGCATTGAGAAAGCTGGCAACCCATGCTCTGCCAGCCATTTGGTGTAGGATTTTCTGTTCAATAAACCAATCATATGTGATAACAATAAGGAGGGAAACATCAAAAGAAAAACAAGACAACATGAGAAACACACTCAGAATAAATGTATGTGTGTGTGTGTGTGTATACATACATACATACATGTATGTATGTATGTATGTATGTATGTATGTATGTATGTATGTATACACATACACACCCACCTTGTATTTGTAAGAAAATGTAAAACAGGTTTAGGGATAATGACTGAAACTGAAGCAATATCATATTAATCATGAAGAAGCACTTGGGAGTCTAAAAATGGTGACCAAAGACAACAGCAAAGTCTTAAGGCATTATTAAATTTATTGAACTTGGAAATATTTGAGAATGCTTTTTAAAATTTAAGGTATTAGTTCAGTACTCATGTGTAAGGTTTAATCAGGTTCAAAATCTTAGATTCTTTGTTGAAATGGTCAAATGGACTCAGATGGAAGTATCCAAATTCAGTCAAGTTCCTTCAGTTTGGAGTTATTAAGGTACTAGATCCAAAGTATGCATGGGAGAGTAGACTTTGCATAAACTGAAGAGTTTTAATCAGTTAAACAAATCAATGACAAATCAATGGTTTAGAAAGAGAATGAAAATGCCTTTTAAGAAAATGTTCATCTTGAATATTAACAAATGTTCTAAGGACATGTTAAAAACTAAAATGAGAGCATAAAGGGAAGTAAATTGAGCGTAGATTACACAAAGGTAATATAAAACTCCAAACTCAGTTGATACTTAGGCACTGACTTCAGTGAATTATATTCAGTCACCTCCTCCCTTTGTGCATCTTGCCTTCTTCCTCCCCATCCTTGACCATTTTAAAACAATTTTAGACGTTACTATTTATTATTTTAAAGTTTCATGTTGATGTATTATTGATTGTAAACCACCAAGTTATTTCTAGGCTAGATGGGCAGCATATAAGTTTAATAAATGTATACAAATAAAAGACAAGAGATTCTTTGGCTGAATAAGTTCAAAATCAAATAAGTGAGTGACTCACCATCTTTAGCCATCTTGATCTATTTTTACAGCTATCAGTGAGATTTACTGTACATTGTGCAACCACTGCTGATATTTTATCCAAGCACATTTCCCCAGATATTTTTTTATAAAACTATCTCTACTGGGAGGAGGCACTGTAGAATACATTTTGTTTACTCCTTAGATTATTTCCCCAGAATTGGTATTGTTTTAATTGGGATGAGGGGGAAGTAATTTGCAGGGTCAATAATGGGAAAGATTATATTAAACTAGATGATTAAACTAAATATGACACTGCCAATTTTCATGTTATAGAAATCTAAAATGCTTCAATACAGAAGAATTTTGTTGCTGTTTGTGCAGGAAGTTCTGCAGGTGTCCTTAGAAATAAGGTGCTATTTGTTCTTTAAATAATGTCAGAGAATGATGATATAAGGATTTTTTAAAGTTTACTGCTGTATATGCGATACATAAAAATATAGATTCCTGTAGTTTCCTGTATTATTCTGAATATAAGGGGTTGGCATATTTTTTACTATATAAAAGCTGTACCTAGCTATCTTTTGGAGAAGTGAGAAAATGATAATATTAGCCATGCATATTCAATTGAAATATGCTTTGTTTGTAAGTGAAGTGACATATTCAGATTTTTCCCTTTATTTTACAAGATAAAGTTTGCAATATTTGTGCTACCTGCTGCAAAATGGCAGGAAATTGTGTTGCCATTTCACCATTCTTATCTAAAAAATATTATTTTATAATATATCCTATAGAATCAATAGAAGAATAAAGTTTTATCTACTTCAATAAAGTTTGGAGTCTGATTGATTATGTTTTATCAAGTGTGTATTCACTCTTTGCAAACACATAGATTTTCTCTAGAATGATCCATCAGTTCTTAACACGGTTCTTCAGATCTCAGCTGTAATTGAGTCTATCCATCTCTTCCTAATCATCCTCTTCTTTTCCCTTACGGTTTTCTCAATCTTATATACTGGTTGAAAATTCTATGACTTTGCATAAGATGCCCAAAATATGAGAATCTAAACCTAGTCATTTATAATTCAACTGAGAACTCTTGACTATTTTTTTTTTAGTTATTCATTTGTTTTCATTCTTACCTATTCATTGTATTTTCAGAATTCTTCTCCAATACTAAAGTGAAAGAAAAATGCCAATACTATCCTACTTCTATCAAATCCAAGTTTGTTACATGAAAACAAATGTCTGCACATTTCTGATGTCTGCAGTGTAGATCCATCCAGCATCCATATATCTTTTTCAAACCCTTCATTGCTCTTTACTAATTGCTAGTTCACAGTACATTTCTTGATTTCTGGTTCCTGTACAGGTAATACTCAACTTACAACCAGTGGTGGGATTCAATTTTTTTAACAACTGGTTCTGTGGGTGTGGCTTAGTTGGGGGTGTGGCTTAGTGGTCATGTGACTGGGTGGGCATGGCTAGCTGGTCATGTGACCGGGTGGGCGTGACTATGTGCATAGGGACTACTCAGAGAGCTGAAAAAAGTCATTTCTGATTGGTCCTCGCACTTTTGACTGGTTCTCACACTTATGACCATCCTCACATTTATGCCCTTTGCGGCATTCTTAACAACTGTGTCAGTCATTTCACCACTACTTCTCTTCACCACGGTGATAAGATAGGGTACAAAACGTAAAATGTGAGGACAGTCGTAAGTTCAAGGACTGGTCAAAAGTGGGAGGACCGGTCAAAAATAACTTTTTCAGCTCTCTGAGTAGTCCATATGCACAAAAGGATACAGCAATAGAGAGGGATGAAGGAAGGGGAGAGAGGGAAGGAAGAGAAGGAAGGAAGGAAGGGAAGGGGAATTAGAGTAGGAGTGAGGGTAAGAGAGGGAGGAAGAGAGGAGGTCAAGGAGAAAGGAAGAGGAAGTAGGGAGGAGAAGAAGGGGGGAAGAGAAAGTAAAAAGGAAAGAAAAGAGAGAGGTGGTAGGTTTGAGGAGAAAGATTGCTATACAATAAAAAAGATGAAAGGGAAGAAAGGCAACCCCAAACAAATATAAAGTTATTAAGATAAAGAATGAATTGTTAAACTTTAAAGAATAAAAGAGAAGAAATATGAATAAATAACAATAATTAGAAACACACATACAAACATACAATGTAGTTTCTTTGAACAGAGTATTTGGCCGGTTCACAAATTTAAACAGTGTTTAGTCATTTCAATTAAATTTACAATTTCTATATTTCCTTTTTGCCATATTTATTCCTCATCTTTTTTTTTTAAAAAAAAACAATATTACCCTTCATCCTCATCTCTAATCTTAATCAAATTCAATTTTTCCCTTCTATTCTATATTATACCCCTTCCCATTGTCATCTATTTTTATATCCATCCTCACATTGGTTAATTATGTAATATTACAGTTGTTTAATACAAATTCAACATTTTAATATAAATCAATTAGTTATATAACTATCTTTTTTGTATATTAATCAATATGAACATGAATATTCCAATTATTTCCATGCAATTCAATTTCTTACAAATCAATTAATTATATTTACCAATAATAATAAACCAAATAATTTCCCCCATATATTTCTCCAAACCACAACTTAACCATTTCTGCTTTCAACACAATATACAATTAATAGTATCTCAATTATTACAATTCCCTAGTTAAATAGAGCTTTTTATCTTTTGTGTTTTAAAATCTTGAACTCTCCTCTTTTGCCCTAAATTTTCCATTGTTTGCACCTACCTTTTTTGATGAGGAAAAAGAAAAAGAAATCTCTCTCTGCCTCATTTTGTCACGTTGCAGCAGAGCCTGCTTTACTTTCAGTTTCGTTTTTTCAGCATAGCTAGGGAAAAAAAATCTGCTCCAGCACTCTTTGCAGCTAGCAACAGAGCCCTGTGCAAAACAGCTGAGAGCAAATCAGCTGAGAGTCGGAAGGCTGATCTAATCAACTTGTGCTGATTAACCTATGCTGAAGCCAAAAGGGACTGTTTTTTCTTGCTGTTTGCTTGCAAGGAGGTAAGTGCTGCCACGCACAGGCCAAAGGGTGGGGGCCACCCTCCTTGCCACTTAGCCCCTCTTGTCATCCCCTTTTGCCTGTAGCGCCCCCCAGCTGCCCCCTTGCCTCTTACTGCCCCCCTAAGGCATGGTACTGCCCACTTTGGCAACCACTGGCTTAACTACTTAACTACTTAACAACCAGTTCTACCAAAGTAGAATCCCATCACTAGGTCTACCCATTTATTTTTGCAGGCACCGGTCTAC